CTGAGTGGGAATCAAACCCGTAACCTGGCGTATCAAGAAATCTTCTAAACTTAGTTTGTAGTGGTGGTTGTACAATTCAAAATAGACTAAAAAATCATTGTACTTTTTGCATACCAGAGTTTTATGGTATGCAAATTATATCTCCATAAACATGTTTAAGAAAAAAACCGGAAGGGGAGCGTGTTCTCACGTGGTTGCCCCTGGTCCTTCTGCTTTGTGCTTCTGGTTTCATGTGGGAACTGGGTGAGCTTCACCCACCTTAACCCTGCCCACGGGCCATTGCCCTTGAGTGGTGCACAGTGGCCTCTGGCCCTTCCTGCCTGAAAACCCAGCGTTGGCCCAAGGCTCCCTGGAGCTGACTCAAAGCTGACTCCAGGGCAGAACTAATGGGCTGCAGCAGACCACTTCCTCAGTGCTGAGGAGGCGCACCGCCAGACGCCACAGAGGGCTTTCTCGGCATGGAAGTTGGAAAGGACTCTGGGGTCTTGGCTGTTCTGTTAACTAACCATAAGTTTATCACCAGTCAACAGTGTGACTCTAAGAAAACATGTCTTTCCTTCCTGGCTTTGCCAGTATTAGCTGTGTAAATGTTACTTAACTTCTCTGAGCTTCAGTTTCTCTCTCTGAGAAGTGGGCCTAAAATTAACTAGAGCAGTTTGGGATAGTGAATGAAGTTAACCATGTGAAAACCTAGCCCTGTTCCTAACACACAGGCAGTACTTGGCCGATGTTTGCTGAATCTGCTCCCCCAAAAACCTCAGCTGCTTCTCCAAACAGCCAATGAAAAATACTAATACAATCTTGAATTTGGCAAAATTGGTAGAAGAGTCCATATCATGGGAAGTAAAGTTATAATCTTTATAACTTCTGTCAGGTACAAATGACAGAAACCCAATTTAAAGTGACAGCAGCAGAAAAAGGGATTGCAGGCCCGGCTGGCATGGCTCAGTGGTTGAGTGTTGACCTATGAACCAGGAAGTCATGGTTCTATTCCCAGTCAGAGCACATGCCCAGGTTGCAAGCTCAGTCCCCAGTAGGGGACATGCAAGAGGAAGCCGATCAATGATTCTCTCCCATCATTGATGTTTCTATCTCTCTCTCCCTCTCCTTTCCTCTCTGAAATCAATAAAAATATATTAAAAAAAGAAAAGAAAAAGGGATTGCAGTGGCTCAGTAACAGAGCTGAGTTATTGGGACTTCCTCCTTCCTCTCTATGCTCCACCTCTTCCCCTTCTTCCTCCTCCGCCTCCTCCTCCATATCATTTTCTGTGGGTGGGCTTCTGCTGTATAGCCTAGAACCATGGTCAGCAAACTGCGGCTCTCGAGCCTCATGCGGCTCTTTGGCCCCTTGAGTGTGGCTCTTCCTAAGCCTTAGGAGTACCCTAATTAAGTTAATAATAATGTACCTACCCATATAGTTTAAGTTTAAAAAATTTGGCTCTCAAAAGAAATTTCAATCATTGTACTGTTGATATTTGGCTCTGTTGACTAATGAGTTTGCCGACCACTGGCCTAGAAAATTCCTGTCCCTCCTAGCTTATGGACCGAGGTAGGAGATGAGAGGAATCTTCCAACAGATTCCTAATCCCCCTTCCTGTGGAAACAGAGTGGATATGTCCAGCGGCGGGACTACAGTCATTGGATGGAAATGACAGAGAAGCCAATTTCCTGTCAACAATTCCAACACTTTTAAGCTTGAATGATGTCTCTCCCCATTAGGAGATTGGTGGTGGCAAGTGACAGAAAATGCAGCTCAAAATGCATGAACAATGATGGTGATCGATTGGCTCCCAACATAATGGAAAAGTCCTGTGGCAGAGTGGCCTCTCGATTCGTCAGGGCTCTGTCTCTTCCCCTGCAGTTCTCCCAGCTCTGTCTCCATGTGTGTCTGCTTTGTCGCAGACTGGCTTCCTCCATCATAATCAGTCAGAGCCTTGTTCCCAACTGGGGATGGGCCAAGAGTGGCTTCCTGTAGTCACTGAAGGAAAGTCTGAAGGGATGGCTCTGCCTGGACACTATGGCCAGGGCAACACCCACGATGACTCCTGAGACTAAATGGCAAGAGTCATGGCGTTGGGGTGATGCATTTTGATAGATCAGAGTCCACCTGGAAAAGCACAAGTTAACAATGGGACAAGGTGGAAAGACACTAAGAACACAGACACTGCCTACCACGGGGCCACAAATTCATTTACAGATGAGGAAATGGGGCCCAAAACCTCCCAAGGTTCTACGCCTAGTTTGTGGCAAATCTAAGACCAGATATCAGTGGTCTTGGCTACAGTTCGCTGGTTTTCTGTTTTATTGTTGTTGTTTTCCCAAAAGTTTCCCAACTTGAGTCCAGGTGAATTTTTTTTATTTATTTATTTATTTATTTATTTATTTATTTATTTAATCAATCCTGACTGGAGAATATTTTTTCCATTGATTTTTAGAGAGCATGGAAGGGAGAGGGAGAGATAGAGAGAAACACAGACGTGAGAGAGACACATCAATTGGTTGCCTCCTGCATGCCCCTGACCAGAGCTGGAAGCCTGCAACTGAAGTACGTGCCCTTGCCAGAATCGAACCCGGGACCCTTCAGTCCACAGGCTGACGCTCTATCCATTGAGCCAAACTGGCTAGGGCTGTTTTGTTTTTTAATTGAATGTATTGGGGAGTGGGCATTGGTTAATAACATTATAAAGGCTTTAGGTGTACAATTCTATAATACGTCATCTGTATATTTATTGTATTGTGTTTTCACCACCCCAAGTCTACAGCTGGCTGGTTTTGTATCAATAATGAAAAATAAGGCCTTGATGGGTAACAAACACCCCATCACTAGGGAGAGTCAAGCCGAGGCTGGATGGCATCATAGCTATAAAAGGAATGACCACAGTGATCTTCAAGGGAGGACAGAGGCCTCTATTATTGGTGCTCCGTGGGAACAGCACAGAGATGAGACAACTACTCCCAAGATGGGACGGTGGAGATGGGCCCTGCAGCAGGGATGGGCTCATCCTATCCACTTTCTTGGATTCATAACTTCCTGAGAGAGGCTCTGACTCCCCTCTGCTTCCCCTCCTCCCCGCCTTGTTCCCAGGCTGAGATGGACAAGCTGGGGCTGGTAATTGTGTTAGTTCAGTTTCCTCCCTGGCCCTGCCCTTCTGGTAATCTGATTTTCAAGGGACTAAGGGGTGGCAAGGCCCAGGCTCAGGAAGAAATCCGCTCCCTCGTGTCTGTTGGGCCTGCTAATTTGATAGAACTACTTGCTGAGCTTCCACAGAACCCCCATTAGGAACAAATTTCATCTGGTTTCCACAGCCCTGGCCCTGGAGAGCTCTCCAAGTCTCAGCCCAGAAGGAAATCCAGCTTCCAATTCAACTTTTACAGAAGGAAATTAAGTCTGTATTATAATAATAGCAACCAGAGATTGAACACCTACTGTGTGCCAGACACAGTACCAGGTGCTTTATATCTGAAGACTCACCAGATGTGCTGTCACTGTTGTGAATTCACACTCCAAGTTGATCCTTTGGCTAATGATCCCTTTCGTCACTGGAGTCTCCCTCCATTTGAATGGACTTGCCCTTGGGTTTGGAGCCTTTGGCCAGCTCTTGTATAATCTTCAGAGTAACAGTGTTTCTAGGACAAGATGGCTGAGTGTGAAGCAGCATCTGACCCAAGCTCTTCTCCAACCCAAGGGCTCCTAGTGCCTAGTGGGAGCCCTTAGCCACTTGGGACACCCAAGCTCAGCCTGCCAAGCATCCTGGATGGTGTGTGGCCAGGTGAAAAGAAAGACACTGGGCCCTGGGGAAAAGCAGCTTCACCACCTATTAGCTGTGTGGCCTGTGACAGGCTGGCTATCTAACCTCTGAGCTGGGGCCTCCTCATCTGGGAAATGGCAGTGGTATAATCTACACTGGCAGTTATGAGAATTAAATGAAGTAAAGGACATGCAACCTAGTCTCCGTTTCACTGTGTGGGATGAGAATTATGACTCACTCTGCTCAAGAATTTTCCCAGAGCCTGCACCACCTGTCCCTGGCCATCTGGCCCTCCACTTGACTTCCTCCCCAGGAATCCTAGGGTCCTCACGGAGTTTGGGAGGATGCAAGGGGACTTGCCAGGTTGCTCATCACATGGAAACTGGGGTCACCTGCTTGTTCTTTGAGGGTCCTTGTCCCCATGGAGACAGACAGACAACAAATACATGAGTGAATATGTAAAGTATTTTGTGAAACATTCTCTGCCCCAATAGTACTGGGCCCCCAGCTACTGCCACCCATGAAAGTGACAAGTAACTTTCCATGCATTACTTCATCCAGACAATAGGACCTGCTTCCCCAGGCAGTCAGCCTACTATCAGAATCAGTCTGGATGTCCCAAGTTACAGTCTGTATTACCCCCCACCCCCAAGGAAGCTCCTTTTCTCAGGCTGGGCTCAGCCCCCTGCTTCTGCTGCCACCATTGTTGTGAGTAAAGATTCTGGGCAGCCTTGGAAGACACCCACTCCCCCTGTCACAGAGCTCCCTGCCTCTCTTTCAAATCCATTCACACGTCACTGCCTCCCTGACTCCCTGATCCAAATTAGCCATCCCATACATGACCTCACCCCACTTTATTTGTCCTGACTGCCCATCTCCTTAGACAAAACAAGTTTAGCAAGGTCAAATGATACAAAGTCAATATACAAAAATCACCTGTATTTCTATAATTTGTTTTGAGTTAACTTTTGTATATGGTGTGAGGTAAGGGTTGAAGTTACTTGTTTTCATGTGGATATCAAATTGTTCCAGCAGCATTTGTTGGAAACATTATTGTTTCTCCACTAAACAACCTTGGTGCTTTTGTAAAAAAAAGGTTGACTGATTAAACCTAGCCAGTTTGGTTCAGTGGATAGAGCATCAACCTGTGGACTGAATGATCCTGGGTTCGATTCCGGTCAAAGCACATGCCCAGGTTTCAGGCTCAATCCCCAGTAGGGGGCGTGCAGGAGGCAGCCAATCAATGTTTCTCTCTCATCATTGATGTTTCTGTCTCTCTCTCCCTCTCCCTTCCTGTCTGAAATCAATAAAATTAATTTAAAAGAAAAAAAAGATGTAAAGAGGTGAGGGGTGAATCACACAGATCTCTGGAGTAAGAGGGTTTCAGCCAGAGAGAATAGCAAGTGCAAAAGGCCCTGAGGAAGGAGCATTTTGTGCAAAGGGATGACATGATCTGACTGAAATGTTAGCACAATCACCTGAGTGTGCTGCTATGTGGAGAATAAACAAAGGAAAACAAGAACTTAAATAGGAAGACAAACTGGGAGGCTCTTGTAATAATCCTGATGAATCTCAGAGGGAGGATGGGGTTGGGAGGTTCGGAGGGAGAGAGATTAACCTAGGAACCTATATGCATATATGCATAGCCCGTGGACACAGAAAATAGTGTGGTAAAGGCCTGGGGTGGGATGGAAGGAGTCAATGGGAAAAAAAGGGGGAACATCTATAATACTTTCAACGATAAAGATTTTTTAAAAAAGTGTGGTATTGGCCAAGGTTAACCAATACATCAGTGGAACAAGTAGAGTCTAGAAACAGATCCACACAAAATGCACTCAATTGATTTTGAGAAAGACAGCAGGCACTTCAATGGGTAGGGGAAGTTATAGCAATAATTTGTGCTAGAATAACAAGTTTCTCATGTAGAAAAAAATGAGCCTCGGCCCCATCTCATACACAAAAAGTAGTTCAGTATATATCACAAACCTCAACACGCAAGCCGAAACTCTAAAGCTTCTGGAAGAGAACATGGGAGACTATCTTCATAAGCTTAGAGTAGGCAAAGATTGTTTTAAAAATACAGGGCACAGAAAGCAATAACCATAAAAAAATGGACATGCCCTCACCGGGTGGCTGGGTTGGTTGGAGTGTTGTCCAATACACCAAAAGGTTGCCGGTTCAATTCCTAGGTTATGTCAGGGCACATGCAGGAGGCAACCCATTGATGTTTCTCTCTCCCTTCCTCTCTCAAAAAAAAAAAAAAAATTACATCCTTGGGTGAGGATTAAAAGAAAAAAAATGTATAACTTTCCCTTTCCTTCTAGGAGGGTCCGAGAATCTCCTTCCACAGCAGCCATACCCCCCTGCACCTCAAGGTGCCAACACTCCCCACATGCTCCACACAGAGCCCCCAGCCCTCCACTCCATGGCCACCAAGTCTCCATGTCTCCCCAGAGCACAAGCCTCCAGGGATCATTCCAGGACCCCTGCCACAATTCACTCAACAATTCCCTTTAAAGCAACTTAAATCTTATCCCGCCTTCTTTACCTTTGTCCTGAACAATCACTGCTGTGAAATCGCTAGTTTGACAGGTATGTCATTATTCTTCATTACATATTAAAATAAATCCCTAACCATTAAAAATATTCTAAAATATGTGAACCACCTAAAATTATTTCACATACTGTTCGTTTTACATGTTCTTGGGAATATGTGTATGAATGTGTGTGAGCATGTGTGTGTCTAATGGGATGTGTGTGTAGTTATACATGTGTATGCATATGGGTGGATGTGAGCATGGGCATGTGAATGAATATGCACGTGAGTGTATATGTAAATGTTGCTGCCTGGTAGGTGAGTATAGATGTGTGTGTGTGTGTGTGTGTGTGTGTGTGTGTGTGTGTGTGTGTGAATGAGTGTAAGTGCATATGTCCTGAGTATGTCTGAGTGCACAGTGTGCATGAGTGTCTGGTGGGATGGGGTGGAGGAAGATGAGAGGATGAAGGGTCCTAGTGGGGGGTGACCACGTTCCCCTGCCCCCCAGCAATGAGCCCTACTCACCAGGAACAGACAGGGCAGAGAAAAGGCATGTGGGCCAGCAGCCCCTCCAGTATGTCCCTGTTTGTTTATCCACAGGCCCTTCAGGGGGAGGGGAGTGTCTCCTTGACCACAGGAGCACCTGGTTACAGCCGGCATCCTGGTAACCATCGCCAGGGACTGGGAGTGCTTCTGGGAACAGCAGCAGCCAGCAGGCGGGGGCAGATCCTCTCTGCTATATTTACAGGTCTGCATTTAGCACAGGACCTTGAGACGAGGGACTGAGCTCCCAAGTCTTCAATGTGTTCATCCCCCTGGCAACCTTATGCAAGGGACATTTTCAGGAGCTCAGAGAGGTTAGGTCATTGCTCAAGGTCACACAGCTAGGTGTTCAGAACCAGAGGAGGACCCAGTCTTCTGGCTCTGAGGTCCAGGGTGTTTCCACCACAGCACAGGGAGCACCGTACTCCCAACGCCGTTTCCTGGCCATGAGAGCCCTGCAGGAACGCCGAGTGCCACCTGAGTTCTCTGTGGCTGTTATCCTGTATAGGTCAGCCCCCGTGGTCTTAGCTAAGTGGTTCTTCTGCCCATTCCCATGCCAAACCCGTTGGCCAGGAAGCAGCTGGTATCTTGGGTACAGGAAGTTCATGAGGGGGGTGATACTCCACATACCCACTGGCACTTGAGGGCACTGACCAAACAAATAACTTCAGCTTGAGGAGCTGGGCAGGGTTCTGGAGGTGGATGAGGGTCTCTGGAGAAGAGCAGGGTTAGTCAGGGTTTTCTAGAGAAACTGTATCCGTATCTATATCTATCTACCTATATCTATATAATATATTTTTAATTTTTTAATGTTTTTAAAATATATTTTTATTGATGTCAGAGAGGAAGTGACAGGGAGACAGAGATAGAAACATCAATGATGAGAGAGAATCATTGATTGGCTGCCTCCTGCATGTCCCACACTGGGGATTAAGCCTACAACCTGGGCATGTGCCGGGACAGGAAATCAAGCCATGACCTCCTGGTCAATGCTCAACTACTGAGCCACAGCTGCCAGCTGGGCTGAGAGAGAGATTTTTAAGGAATTGGCTCATTTGATTGTGGGGACAGGCAAGTTCAAAATTCATAGTGCAGGCTGGTGGACTGGAAATTCAGGTGAGATTTCATGTCGCAGTCTTGATTCCGAAATCCACCGGGCAGCACGTTGGAAACTCAGGCAAGGTTTCTAACTTGCAGTCTTGAGGCAGAATTCCTTCTTCTGAAACCTCAGCCTTTGTTCTTAAGGCCTCCAACTGGTTGGACGAGGCCCACCCACTTTATGAAGGGTCATCTTTTTTGCTTCAAATCTAGTGATTGTAAGTGTTAGTCGCATCTAAGAATACCTAGACTAGTGTCTGGCCAAACAATTGGGTGCCATAGCCTAGCCCAGTGGTCAGCAAACTCATTAGTCAACAGAGCCAAATATCAACAGTACAATGATTGAAATTTCTTTTGAGAGCCAAATTTTTTAAACTTAAATTATATAGGTAGGTACATTGTCATTAACTTAATTAGGGTACTCCTAAGGCTTAGGAAGAGCCACACTCAAGGGGCCAAAGAGCCGCATGTGGCTCTCGAGCCGCAGTTTGCCGACCACTGGCTAGCCAAGTTGACGTAAAATTAACCACCACACTTTCCCTGACCTCTAGGGAAGATCAGCATAGCACCCCTTTCCTCTTCCCCTCCTCCTTGCATGCAGTTCTAGGAATGTGTTTATTACCCCCATCATAGAACTGTGACACTTCCTAATATTGTCTGCTTAGCTTTGCTGTTCTCCAGTGCCTAAGGTGTGAATGTGTGTTATTTATTCTTCTCAGGACTCTGGGTGCTTATTCAATCTGAAGATTTAGGTTTTTCTTCCATTTTGATTCATTCCCAGATTTAACTCTTCAAATACTGCTCCTCCCCCATTCTCTCTCCATTCTCCTGGATCTGCCAGCTAAGGGTGCTAGATCTTGCCATCATTTCCTCTTCTCTTAGCCCTGGTTCCTTCCATATGTTTCTTCTCTCCTTTTTCTCACCGTGCTACTAGCAAAGTGATTTTTTTCTAGAGGTATCACCCAATTTGCTAAATGTCTCTTTAGCTGTGTCTTATTCTGCTGTTCAACTTATCAATTTTAATAAAGTATTTAAACTGTATTTTTCACTTATAAAACTTCTATTTGGCTTGTTTTCCATCTATTTTTCATATTATCCCACTCTTTATTATTATTTTCTTTCTTTTAAAAATTCTTCATAATCACTTAAAATGTTTCTCTTCTGTTTTCAGATTTTTCTATTATTTCCACTTCTTAGGTGGTAAATTCTTCTGTGTCTTTTGGTCTTGTTTTGTATTTATTGATTATCTCTTATGGTAGTGTGTTTCCCTGTGCAGTTTGTATTTTTTGATTGGGAACGCATCTTCATTGGGGTTTGTTTTTGCCATGAGTTGTAAAAATATTCTTACAGAGTACTCTGGGTTTGCTTCTGTCAGGGCCCTTAAGGGCTGGACTAACTTTTATATTAACTTTTTGGCACAAGAGTCCTGAGGTCAGGGGCTCGCCGAGGGAGGGGGGATGTGGTAGAGCCATGTACCTCTCTCCTTCCTGTGGGGCAGGCCTAGACCTTCCATCTTTCACAGCAACTTCCCTCCCAAGCCCAGGACAGTGAGAGCATTTTGTGTCTCCTTCTACAGCCCTGGTGGTAGAGTTTTTGTAGCCTTTTTCCCTGATTAGAGTTCTCTTTAAGGCTCCAAGCCTTAAAAGGATAAATTCAAAGGGACAAATTCCAGCTCTCCTGCCTCAAACAGCCTGGGGCTGCCTCCTATTTTTTCAAGGGCCCTAGAACTCTTAGGATCCAGGCTTTAGAGCCTTTATCTAGTCAAAACCCTGTGAATCATCCATCTGATCAGCTTACTCTGGCTTTGAGTTCTTATACTATCTCTGGAATGTGAGAATGTTTCTTTCTTTCTTTTGAACTCAGCTGTATATTTTCAGGTGTTTTTCTTGTATGTTATGCAGGATTTATATATGGTAGCAAGAGAGGGTTGTCTGAAATAGCTTAATCTGCCCTGTTGCCAAAAGCGTCCTGATACATCTGTCTGTGTATTATCTCAGTAATAGTAGTCTCCCCCTCTAGATTGCAAACTCCATGAGACAGGGACTGTGTTGGCTTTTGCTTCCAAAAAAGAACTGAGCATATGTTGGGAGCCATATATATTTTTAAAATAAAATGTTATTGATTTTCAAGAGGAAGCGAGAGAGATAGAAACATCAATGATCCCAGAAGGAAAGTAAGGGAGGGCGGGGGTAAGGGGAAGAGATCAACCGAAGGACTTGTATGCATGTATATAAGCCAAACCAATGGACATGGACAACAGGGGAATGGGAGCATGAGTGTGCGGGGCGGGAGGTGGGGAGGTTAGGGGTTAATGGGGGGGGATGAGGACACATTTGTAATACCTTAACTAATAAAAAAAAAAGAAAGAAACATCAATGATGAGGGAGAATCATCGGTGGGCTGCCTCCTGCATACCCCCTACCAAGCCCACAACCCTGGCACTTGGCTTGACTGGCAATCGAACCCTGACCTCCTGGTTCATAAGTCCATGTTCAACCACTGAGCCACACAGGCTGGGCAGGAGCTTCAATATTAATTCATTCAATATTGTTGAATGAATTAATGAAAATACTCTCTCTGGGGACATTAGTACCTAATTCATAGGGCTATTGGGAGAACTTACCAAGAGAAAGTATGTTAAATGCTTGGTATAAGATAGGAATTCAGAGATGATATCTATAATAATAAAAGCATAATATGCTAATTAGACTGGACAACCAAACAACCTTCTGGATGTCATTCCAGACGTCCTTCTGGTCGAAGCCGTGGCTGCGGGGGCTGAGGCAGAGGCAGTTAGGGGTGATGAGGCAGGCAGGTGAGCAGTTAGGGGTGATGAGGCAGGCAGGCAGAGGCAGTTAGGGGAATCAGGCAGGCAGAGGTGGTTGGGGGCCATCAGGCAGGTAGGCAGGCAAGCGGTTAGGAGCCAGCGGTCCCGGATTGCGAGAGGGTACGGGCCGGGCTGAGGGACACCCTCCCCTCCCCACCACCCCACCGTGCACGAATTTCTAGTCTATTATAATAATCATGTCTATTAAGGCAAAGGCTCAACCATGAAGGTTTCTCTGTAATTCAGCTCCCACCCCTCACCTCAGACATTAGTCTTGGCCTAGGATGGCAGACAGGTTCTGTGAGTGTGACCTCCTGACATTTACTCAGAGCTCAAAGGTCAGCCACCACATCTTGGTTTTAACCCAAACCCCAAGGCCTGAATATGAATTGGCTAAATGTTGTCCCCCTCTGGTTGATCCTATCCTGTCTAGGGGTCCCTGATCATGTCATGGCCAGTGATCCCTTTTATTGCCAGGATTTTTCTCTAGAAATCTCACATTTGAGAGGTTCTGTTGAGGAAAAATGCATTGAATAAGTATTCATTGATTTATTTGTGCATTTTAATTAATCCAAGGCATTCACCTGCCAAGTGAGATAATTTTAGCCCAAAGCAAGGTAACAACATTTTAATCAGGCGGTGCAGCTTTTCCTGGGTGAGTGCACCGGAGCCCCTGCCCCATTCCTACCCAGGGATTTGAAGACTGAAATGAAAAGTCCTACCTGGTGGGACCCACCAGCAGCAGCAGTGCCTTGCAAGCTGGACTCAAGGAGGACACAGAGAGGCTTCGAAGATGGCAGCCAGGCCCTGAGCCCACAGCTCAGTTGGTTAGAGTGTCATCCCGATGCACCAAGGTTTGGATTCAACTTCCAGTCAGGACACATACAAGAAGCAACCAATGAATACATAAGTAAGTGGAACAACAAATTGATGTCTGTCTCTCTCTGTCTCTCTGTCTCTCTGTCTCTCTGTCTCTCTGTCTCTCTCTCTCTCTCTCTCTGTCTCTCTCTCTCTGTCTCTCTCTCTTTCTCAAATCAGTACATTAAAAAAAATCAATAAATAAAAATTTTAAAAACAAAAACACAAAACGATGGCAGCCAGGGGCAACCTCCTAAACATTACAAGCCCAAGAAAGTGGCTGGCAATGGTGAGAGGTAAGAAGGAAACTAAAAAGGCTTACAATAGGATTTATGTAGCCTCAGGGAACAGAATTTAAAATGTGATGTGTGTGTGTGTGAATATCTCCTTGGCATGTTGGAAGGTTTACTCAACCAATGAGG